TATCTATCTATCTATCTATCTATCTATCTATCTATCTATCTATCTATCTATCTATCTATCTATCTATATTTTCTTTCTTAATGAACATATACATTCATGTTCAGAACCAAAAATTTGTACATTTTCTTTTTCTAAAATTCGTATGTCTTAATTTTCCTTTCATCTTGAGAGGAAAAAATGTTTTCTCTAAGCTGCTGAGGCCTCCAAACTAACATTTACACGAACCAACGTCTGACTTTTATTCCATCCAATCACATCCAAATGACTTTCATTTCAGACTCCAAAATATCTTGGCATACTCTGTGTCAGGAGAGTGCCCATCCTCTGATCTGTGTTTGTTCAGCTGTTGGGCAAAATCCATTTTACTTCAGCATACAACATGAGCACAAACACTTCTGTTGCTCCAACACTAGATGGCAGTGTGACAAGAAAAGTAGTGGAAAAACCCCACAACTAAAAGGGAGGCGAGCCTCTCTTGCAAATGTAGACATAAAATGTCTTTCATGTATCAGGATGAGAGTTTCAGTTGGTAAGTAACATATAGCTAATTTTGTCAGGTTGACTTTGTAATTTTAATTGCAGTTAAAAATCGTTTAATGCTTGAAATTCACTAAAGCTAATTATGGATTCATAAAATAAGTATATATTTATAAAAAGCTATTTTTGCCCCTTCTAAAGATTTACAGAATAAGGTAGCAGATACTTATGGAAGCCCATTTCTGCCACATGAAAGTAAAATAAAAATGGCAAAGAAAGTCATAATTATGAGATACAAAATCATAATTTGACTTTGAAAGTCATAATTCTAATATATAAAGTCATAATTTGACTTTGAAAGTCATAACTATGAGATACGAAGTCATAATTATGAAATAAAAAATCATAATTTCGACTCTCAAAGTCATAATTATGAGATACAAATTCATAATTTGACTTTGAAAGTCATAATTCTGATAAAGTCATAATTTGACTTTGGAAGTCATATTTATGATATAAAAAGTCATAATTTGACTTTTAAAGTCATAATTATGAGATATAAAGTCATAATTATGAGATATACAATCATAATTTCGACTCTCAAAGTCATATTTATGAGATACAAAGTCATAATTTGACTTTGAAAGTCATAATTCTAATATATAAAGTCATAATTTGACTTTCAAAGTCATAATTATGAGATACAAAGTCATAATTAAGAGATACAAAATCATAATTTCGACTCTCAAAGTCATAATTATGAGATACAAAGTTATAATTCTGATATATAAAGTCATAATTTGACTTTCAAAGTCATAATTATGAGATACAAAGTTATAATTCTGATATATAAAGTCATAATTTGACTTTCAAAGTCATAATTATGAGATACAAAGTCATAATTAAGAGATACAAAATCATAATTTCGACTCTTAAAGTCATAATTATGAGATACAAAGTTATAATTCTGATATATAAAGTCATAATTTGTCTTTCAAAGTCATAATTATGAGATACAAAGTTATAATTTCGACTTTTAAAGTCATAATTTTGAGATACAAATTCATGATTATGACTTTGTATCTCAGAATTATGACTTTGAAACTCAAGATTATGACTTCGTATCTCATAATTATGACTTTGTATCTCATAATTTTAATTTTGATGTCGTAATTATGACTTTCTATTTCTAATTATGAGATACAAAGTCAAAATTTGACTTTCAAAGTTATAATTATGAGATACAAAGTCATAATTTCGTCTTTCAAAGTCATAATTATGAGATACAAAGTAATTATTTTGGCTTTCAAAGTCATAGTTTTGAGTTTCAGAGTCATAATTCTGAGATACAAAGTCATAATCATGAATTTGTATCTCAAAATTATGACTTTGTATCTCATAATCTGACTTTGAAAGTCGAAATTATTACTTTCAATCTCGTAATTATGACTTTGTATCTCATGATTATGACTTTGTATCTCATAATTTGACTTTGAATGTTGTAATTATGACTTTCTATTTGGCATTTTTTACTTTTATGTGGTGGAAACAGGCTTCCATATAAACTTGCCTCTGTTTGAGTTAAAAAGGTTACACTTCCTTTTTTATGCTGATGTAACGAGATTGGTTTTAATGAAAGTTTAAATTATTATTTATCAAATAATTAATTTCCTATATACACAAACACAACAAACCCTGGTAGATTCTTAAATTGTTTATTATCTTAATCCACATCACCTCCTACACAACATTATCATCTCATTGGTCTCAAACAAAATAGAGTGATGTTGAAAAACAAATTCACCTTCAAATCTTCATGCAATCAAAAGATAATGTAGCTCTTTAGTGATAGTGATAACTTAATGATAGTGATAACTTTTTAAATATATATATTTTTTAATAAGTGGCCAATTGGAAATCTCTCAGATAGTGTGTTGAAGGTAAAGAGGAAGAGGTGAGGGAGAGATGCAGTTATCATAGAAGATCTGGAGGTTCTGGTCAACATCCATGTGGTTTTTCAGATACATCTCCAGCTCCTGCACCGTCATCTCATGAACACTGTTCCCTTCTTTGGCATTCTTGGCCAAGGCTGCGTGGGCTGGGAAGAGGACGCGCATATCATGAGGGGAGTTGCGGTCATACTCAGTGCAGCAGTATGCGGACCATATGTCTTCTGGGATGGCTACACGATCCTGGTTGTTGCGACGGATCATGTTACCTCTGGTGGTCACCCCGGTGACGATGTATGCAGTGCCACGGCAATAGTTGTTAAGGCGCACTCTGATACGCTCTTCGAATTCGCGCCATGGTCCGATGTTGAACTCTCTGATCTCTGGCACCACATTGGTCAGTGTGTAGGTGGCAGCGCGGTCGTGTGGAGTGGACTGGTGTTGGTCTGGATTTAAGTGACCTCTTTCATAGAGGACAACGTCAGAGTAGTCATCTAGCACTGCCTGGCTGTCCTCAAACTTCATGTGGAGGTAGCCAGTGGGGAAAGGCAACATGTTCCCATTTCCATCAATTTCTGCCAACTGGAACAACACAAAAATAACTTATTTTCCTATCAAATTATTTTGGATCTCACTGTAAAACTTTATGAAAACTTAGATAAGAAGCATGGAATGAAATTAGTGAAAGGTACTGACCTGAGGTTCATACATCCAAGGGTAGTCCACACGTCTGTCTCCCTCTGTTTTCTTAAAGGTGTAAGCTGAGTAAACTGGAATCCGTTTCTGAGGATCATACAGTGTCACATATCGAGGTTTGTCTGCATAGCGCTGGCAGATCTTCTTCAGCTTGAAGTCTACAATTCCTCGTGGTGGTGTCCCCATGTATAGGGAGTCCTTACATCTCTCCACATGATTAAAGTCTAGGACAACGGTTGCTAATGAAAGATAATTTGCTGTAAGCAAAAGAACTGAAGGAATTAACATCCTCATGTTTGAGCCTGTCTCCTCGAAGTCTCGTCCCTTCAGCCTTGTGCTACACCAGAGGTTTGCCGTTATGTTTTAAATGTGACACAGCTGATATGCAAAGTTGGACGTGCGTGGCAGAAGAGCAAGCCTTGACTTTCTGTGGGAGTTAAGGACTCGTCACTGCTCCCTTAACCCAACTGTTGGAAACCTATGAATACAATATAATAGTTAAAAAAAAAAAAAAAAAAGCTTTTTTTTTTTGCTAGTGTAAGGTTTCTTCTTGGCCTTTGAGGTTGTAACTTAGATGTTTTTCCATATACGTATCACCATCTGGTATAGAGACAAGTCATATGTGTTTCCATAAATGCTTAGGTTAAAGAGGCCAGCAACAGAGAAGAGTTCTGCAGAGAACTTCTGCGATTATTACGTCAGTTTTATGTCCGTCCATTTGCCTCTATAATAAGTTTGATTTGTTTGATCCCGGCAGAATGAGGAGGATTATTCCTTGTCTAGTGGCTATAATAAAAAGGCAGGCTTCACCGAGGACTGGATGCAACTCTGTCAGAAGTTTAACAACCATGCATGCACATGCCTAAAGGCAACTTAATGAAGCCAAATTCTTGGAGGAAACCTGCTTATCCAAAAGAATGCATGCAAACTAAATGCACAGGATTATACCTTAGACCCTCTTGTTGCAAGGTTACCATACTGTGCCACAGTTTAGTCTGGTGTTTTGTTTAAAATAGTAAAATGCAAACCTAACTAATCTCCCTAAGTGATGAAGATCAAGTTACTCTGCCTATCTATCTGAATGGTGCATAAGCTAATGAGTAAAGAGAGATACAGCAAGAAAGTTTGACTACCAAGTGACAGCTATTGTGTGTAAAAGGATGTATAGAAGTCCCTTTCTCTTGTTACACTGAAAATATATTAGTCCAACTCAATGTATAATTGTACCTACAGTTATTTATAATCCTAAATTGTGTAAAGTTCATTACAAGCAAATATGTCTAACTTTCAGTAAAGTAAATAATTTGTCAAAGAAAATAATATTAAACTTTTTTGTTCTTTCCTAGCTCCTCAAAGAGACCTTGATCTAAAGACATCTTCCTTTATCCTACAGACCAAAAACTATACAGTTTTTTCTCAGCTTTATCTTCTATTAGCTATTAGATTAATTCACCAATGGGGGCTTAATCCAGCAACATTTCTTGCCCCAATCTCAGGGGCTGGATAGCTTCAAGCGACTGCTAAGTGGTAAAATATAGCCATAACTACTCTACTGGAGTTAGCAAATAAAAGTTGCAGTGGAACATTTATCTCGATTGGTCTGAAATGTAAAGCACATAAAAAGTGCTCCAGTTCCAGTTACTGGAGTGTCTGTGGCTGTGCAGCGCTGCACTATGATAAAGTCTGCTTTATGCAAATGTTAACTGTCAGATTAGCTCCAGCTACAATTTTTCACTACCTTAATAAGTCTATTTGAGTGACTGAGTGTTGTTAGGAGCAGCTTGCCTCTCTGATCTAATCTTGAGTTATGACAATCATAACTTTTGCAGCCAGGGCTGTTGATGCGGTTATGTGGACAGACATTTTTCAACTGTCAGCATTTCTACCAATTAGAATTATAAATTCAGACCAAGTATAGATCCGGTTGGGCTGCCCACTGTTGGTCCTTGGCGCAGGGAGGGGGAGCATGTGATACAGCTACTGAGCCTATTGTTATTGCTCAGCTCTTAATAGAAAAAGGCAACAGCTGGTGAGTTTTAGTTACCTCTATACAGTCAATTTAAGAGTGAAAATGGAGACAGGAGTCAATAACGGGATTTTTAAATAGATGATGAAATTACTTTCAAGATTTCAACATGGGATTGGTTAATAATGTAGGAGAGGAATTGCTCCAACACCTGACTAGTCCATCTGCCCAGCAACAGGCATTTAAGCCAGCTTACTTTTTGATACTGAGGTTCTTTATGAATTATAAAAGAAACATTAAAACATAAGATATTACGTATTGCAGAATAAGTAACTAACACTTCGGTAATAACCAAGTTCTTCAAAAACCATCAACTTAATAACCATTTTGAAACAATAGTTAAAGAAGGTTGGGTTATGAGTGTCTTATCTAGTTTAAAGCAAACAGTGTTATCCTAGTTTGTAGTTAAGGAGGTAAACCCAGCAGAAGTGTTTAACACAACAGGTTCACTATGATCCTCCTCTGTTTGAAACGGGAGTTCAACATATTTTAGTCAATGCACTTCTCTTTTGACCAAATCCAGATGAAGCAGAAATGCAGAAAGTGTTTAAAAAGTATTTCATTTGTGCTGTTTAGCTCTACATTACAGATCACGTGTTTGCATTTACATTGCAGATTCTTAATATGTACTGTATGCTTCTTCCAGCTGCATCTATAAAGACAGACCTAGTACCACTAGCAATATATGTTCCACATTTTGAGACTATAAGAAGATGATTACCATCCAGTTTAGTTGGCATCTACCTTTAACAAGTTCTACATACTGTTATGTATCCATAACATCAATATGCAGTACCTAACTTTGTCCACATAAAGGCAGTATATACTTCTTGTTTGTTGCATACCACTGCAAAGTTCAGTTCTTCCATCCAACCAGGGTTCATTTAGAAATAATTAATGCTTTTGATAATTACATGAACAAAGACATACATTATATTAAATATTTTATTAAAATCCTAAAAAATATTAATATTTAGCAAAACCTAACCAATTGATTAAACATTATTTATTTAATATATCTATTTAGTTATTAACTTTATTGTTTAGCATTTTGGCATATTTACAGATTAATCTATGGCCGTTAAATGCTTATTATTTTCAGCTTTGATTGGTAATATTTTTTCACATCTTTCTCAAAGATAACAATTAACAGCCCAAATATGAATTTTATATCATTTAGTATGAAGGATACATATGCATATGAGATAACTACACATTTAATGTGTCTTTTATTGACAAAACCAACCACTAATTCCAAGGCAAAATTGTCACTCACAACCTGACAGAAGATGTTGGAAATGCAGTTTTTGTCCAATGAGTTTGGTCAGTTTTTTTTTAGAAGTATGTTGAATGATGTTTAGTTTGGTTAGATGTGTTTGCTTTTTTAAAAATCTTTGAAACCTAACAGTTATAAAGTTGAGAAGATTTTTAACCATTTGCCATAGGCACAATGTGATAATCTTTGATTCAGATTAATTTAAATACCCACTTTTCTAAGTATATGTTGCAGTATACAGTTGGAGTTTGGTAAAATAGCATTTGCTTGAATCTCAGCTGTATTAGAGCTACCTGGAATACATCCTTTAGTAGATCCAAAAGAGAAAGAAAACTGGACTAATGCTTCTATTGAAAACTGAATTATGGTGTATGCTAAGCCTCTTTTGAGCCACCAGGGGGTGCGATTTAGCAGGTTCTCTGGCCTATGAGGCTGTAGCTCAGGCTTGCTGATTGGTGTGAATGCCCACATGTTGTTGAAGGCTAACCAATAAGAGTTCAGTCAGATCCGGTTGCTGTTGCTATGGCACTTCACAGATACAAAAATAAATAATAATCTAAGATAACATAAAAAAAAAAGAACATCCCCAGAATGCTTGTATCATTTCACCAGGTCCTTGAAAGATCTCCATCTTTCTCCAACTTTCACTATGATCCCAGGGTCCCAGGAGTTCTGTCTGCTTTCTATCAGCCAGTGAAGAGTGAAATGAGCAGAGAAGCTAGAGCTGATCTTGTATTGTGTGCTACAAAGACTTTAGACCCTCCCTTAAGAGGGGAGAGCCGAGGCCCCTCCTCCGCCGGTTGTCCTGTCACTTGACATTTGAGCTGGCAGCCTCTCTTGTCACCATTTTGCACTGTTTCACTCATGCACATAGACGCAGATTTCACCAAGTTTGCATCATTGAAATAAAATGTATGATGCAATTTTTTGGAGTTTTCAAATATTAAATAAGTTCAGAGGGAAAAAAAAATTGCTGCAAGAAAACTGGAAATGTCTCACTTTTTAACACTAATCATCATAAAACAAAAACAAAATGTTGTTACATTTAAATAGATCTGTGACAGATCTAAACATAACAGAGATTTCCAACATGTAATCTACTGTACTGGCTGCAATCCAGCTCCCGAATGTCTACATTCATACTGTACACAGACGCACGTAGGCACACAGGAAGAGAATTAAAGACCCCCCCTGTTTATTTCTCTCTGTCTGCTTCTTTCCCCTCCTCCTGTGATAGATGAGAGGGCCCTCAGCCTGTTAACTGGCCCCGGCCCTACTGACTGGCAGCCCTTGGGCCCGCCCCACCATCCCTCTGTGCACGTGGATCAGTCTGTGCTGCTATGAGAGCCCCAGCATCAGAGAGTGGAGTGGAAACAGGAAGAGGAGGCGAGGGGAGAAAGAAAGGAGACAGAGGAGAGGATCGGGTGAGACAAGGTGGCGAGGAGTGAATGAAAGGGAGGAAAAAGGGGAGAAGAAGGGCTGCCTGGACCAAAGACCAAAAAGAAAAAAAAAAAAAAAGGAGAGGTAAATGAGGAATGCAGAGGAGGAATTGGATGTGCTTATTTTAGGGCTGTGAATGGAAATCTACTGCATGCATTGTGTGTTAGTGGAGAAGTGTGTGCCTCTCTGTGTGTGTTTTTCTATTGTTGCCTCATTGTTCTTGGATGATTTCTGTGTGCTTTTATATTTTACTCTATCAATGATTTGTGTCTCGGTGAGTGTGCTGCAGTGTGCGTCTGCAGACTGCTGCACATTCATGCATGAAGCTCACACACACACACACACACACACACAAACATTGTTGCACACTTACACAAATACATGCACACATGCTCACGTGCAGACCCGCACAGAGAGAGGAATGTGAAATGATGAATGTAGTAAAGGAAGACTGTTTGCGGTTACACTGACTTGTGGTTCTATTTTTGCAAACAGGAGGACTAAGCTGTTGAATATGGGCTCTGGTTTCTATGTTTACTGTTGAAGGATTGCAAGAATTTGCCCTAATTTAGATTAATGTGTAAATATTTTTCTAATAACATTGATGACCCAAATGTCACCTTTAAATGTTTGGGATGCCCACTTAGAAACTCAGAGATAAGGTGACTGTCAACATGTTCTAACCGGTATATGCCTTTAATTGATTACCGGCTTTGATAACCACCTGAGCAGCCATTTCTAGGTTACCATTTACCATGCGGACCAGCTGTGCATCCAACACTCACATGCATGCACAGTCTTCCTCACACCTGCCAGTGTGTTTTATAGTCTTCTTTCCTCAAAAAGCTAGACATTTTTTTATTATTCTTTGAAAAAAAAACACACACCCCTCTCTGTTGTTGCTGACCTTGCTTTGGTACATTCCAGCACCCCCGCTGACAGAAGCTGCTGTTAACTAGAAAAGGGAAAATGGGGAATAAAGCCGGGGGGGTGCAGGCAGAGATGTTATTTTTAGATATGTGATTGATATTCGGCCCTTACTGTAAACTGTCAATGTGAGTGTTTGAAACCGGTTCAGGTCTGCATCTGATTAATACTACTATCGTGCATGCAGTCAGCTGGGGCAGACTGGTTGGAGGGGGGTGGGGGTGGGGGGGTTCTATACACTGTCCAGTCTGTCTGTATACCTTGTTGCTTCCGCTCGATCTCATCTCTTTGCAGTTTTGCTCTTTGTGTTGGCTAAGAAACCACTAGAGGCAGCTGTGGTGTGTCGCAGGCTATCCTTCCCTTTTATGGTATAGGTGCAGGATCCCCTGCATAAACACACACACGCTGATGCACGTACTGCAAGAGATGCACATCTGCAGTGGTTTGCTGCAGCCAGCTAAGATATTAATGAATATGGTGTTTTTTAATGCGATACTGCAAAAATAAACTCAACTCTTAGAATATTTTTGTTTCATCTATCAGTGATAGGTTAGCGTGGGAAATTGGAGTCAAATGTACACTAGTGTTATTAAAAAGTTGCAGTTTCAAAAATGCAATTATTTTGCATTTGACTGTTATGAAATGGGGTTCCTAAAGAAAGACCTAGAGTAAGCCAAGTTTTCTGCTAAGTGGAGTTCTGGACTGCTTCCCCTCCCCCTCTTGTTGTTGATCTGCTGGTCCGCTGGCTAAAGACATGGTCTAAACTTTCTCCTTGCTTAAAAGAAAAACAAATCAGTTCTTTGGAAATTTAACTCAGTTCCATTCAGTTTGTATATGCTGTACCAACTAACAACCATTGCCATCTTAAAGCGCAAGAGAAAATTATAAATTGGTCTAATTCGGATACCCAAAAAAGAAATGATCAAATCCATCAGCTCTACGCCAATCATGCATCCTTAGTAATTGACTTTTCAGCAATCTCTCCATATGAGCATGTGAATGGTGATAGGTGGAGCCAGTAGTTAATGAACATTAGAATAAATAAATAAATGAAAATAGAGCAAGCAATCTAACTCACAAAGTTAGGTTGTACTATGTTATACATACAATGTTTACATTTTTCTAAAAACATAGTTTGGGTATTGAAATGTGAAACTTAAAGACTTCCTAAGGTAAGGCACCTGTAATGAAAAAAATAGCATATGTAATAAACAAGAGTTCAAATGACAACAGAAAGGAAAGAACATAGTTTAATAGAGATTATTCTTTTTGAAAATGCATCAAAACTAAGAACTCCCAATGTCTGAAGTCATTGAATGCATCGATCAACAGCCTATAAACTGATGGATAAATAGATCATGCGGTTCCTTCACTTTCTGTAGAATTTAAAATAATTTAAAATGATCACATCTATCAAAGAACACCATATTGTAAAGTCCTTATACCCCATCAAACTGTTTCCCATCAGCCTTTTTTTAATTTTGAATACATGATAAAACAACTACGGGTGTCCCGATCCACCTTTTTTTTTAATCTCTGATTTTGCAGCTTTGAGAATTTACTGTTACTGACCTGATACGATATCAGCACTCAAAGCATGATGCTTTGATTACTTATCTTTTATTGCAGAATTTTAGACAAGGCTTGATTAAATGATATTACTAAAATAGAGAGCAACAGTCAATAACAATAGGTATGAAAAACACTGACCCATGTAATATTGACCAAAATTGTAAAAACGAACCATTCCCAATAATCTGATATTATTTTTTTGTCTAGTATCAGACCGATATCTGATAATAATATTGTATTGGGGCAGACCTAAAAATAACACTCCTGCATGACTTGTCTCTGCATCACCCACACATTAATCACTCTTTAACCTAGCCTGCCAATATTTTGAATGTGCTGCACAGTTCATCTACGAGCATTGTACCTCACCATGTTATGTATACATTACATTCAGACAATATGTTTCCAACTGAAATATCACGGACCCATCAGTATGAATACTTAATTTTATGCTACATCATCTAGATTCTTTACTCGCATCAAACTGATGGATGTCTGGAAATGAAAGTGAACATTTATGCATCGATTACTGTGTGATTCATTAGGCTATTAAATACCCGACCTCTTGGCCAGACAGTCAACTGATCCCATAGTATTAAAACTAAAGTATAATGAAACTGTGACATCCCTGAAAAGTAACATGCCTAGTAATAATGAAGTAGGATGCAGTAAATCCCGGCGCGCTAACCTCTGTAATCACACACTACTCAGAATGGGAACTCATTACAAAGGCATATTTACTTCAAAAGTACGATAGAGCTTGATTTTCATGGTATCCTTTATTTCCTGCTTTTTAGAAACTTGTTAGAAAACTGGGTGGCAAGAACAAAAGGGAAGATGGTCAAAATCTTTACACTAAAGAAAACCCAAAATTGTTATTAGCTAGAAAAGCTGATTTAGTGCATCCCTAACTACAAAGGGTATCAAAATAATAGGCCATTCTACCAGCGCCGGGGATGGTTCTATATGAAAACAGTTTGCTTCTCTTTTATGGTTGCTGTTTGTTTTACTTTTACTTGATTACATAGCATAAAGTTGTGTTCTCCTAATGAAAAACTAATCTTACTATAACATTTCCATACCAGCCCATGCCTTACTGGTACTGCCAAATAAATATGATTCAAAAGAAAGCAAACTTTGATCATCTCCCAGACGTTTTCTATCTCCCATCACCAGCAAGCTCTCCTTTCTGTGTCAGAAATCGCACACCAATGCAAACACTCCCCTCCTTGCTGGAGGCCTTCCTCCCAGCTCTGGACTAAATGATATCATCGGTTGCCAGGGATACCAGGGCACAGCGTGCCGAGAGAAGGGAGGGCGGAGACACAGGCAGAGCTGTTCACATTGCCAGAAAGAGAAAGCAAGAGGCTGGGGGTATTAGGTATCAAGATAAAAGAGGAAGCCTTGTTGAAACAAGAAGAGAGCAGAAATGCATAACCTTAAGGAGGAAAGCGGCATTGTAAAAATGCCTGGAGGCTCTCTGGAGGTCATTCATATTATCTTTCTTTGTTTGAAGTGGTGATATATATTAAAATACACATGTGTTACCAAATATCTAGATAAAAATAATAAAGGCTCAGCCCTACAGGTACATTCAAGGGACTCCCTTTGATTTGAAACATCTGTGCACCAACTGGCTATGGTATTTCCTAAAGCTCTTTACTATGTGTGTTTGTGTGCTTTTCTTTGCCAGCTCGTTGCTATTTAAAGGGATCTGAGACTGCTCTAGTCGAGAGTCTTTCTATTCCTGTCTGACAGCAACGTGAAGTTTGGAACGGAAAAGGCCATCCTCTACGTTGTCTCTCATTGGTCAAGGTAGGATTAGCTGACACAAGCACCAAATGTTTAGTTTGAATACATGCTAGACTACAAGCGCTGCTCCTGCAAACAGGAACAATGCGGTCGGCTAGTGTCTAGTGACGACATGGGAGGGAGGAAACATGTAGTGAAGCATAAAGTGAGTACAACTATGAAAACAAAGTAGTGCCCATGTTTTAAACAAAGGTGTTTCTGCAGTGCACTCCCACATGTTAAAACTGTTTGTGTTGCACATTCTTCCCTAAAGGTTGCCTCACTCTGAAGGAAAGAGTTTACCCAACAGCAACTTAACCCATTTTGCACATGAGATCATTTGGCCTGAAGGCTGGATTCCAGATGTCTTAAATTAACCCCACGCATATGGCTTTAATACTGGACGCACAGAGTCGCTGGTGTGTGGAGTCGAGTTTAGGCTGCGGTTGCTGACTGACAGCTCCATGGACAGTAGAGCAAAACAAAAGTGTGTGTTCCAGCGTGCAATGACAGGGAGGGCCTGCCGACAGATGGTCTATCTGCAGTCGGTGCAGGCAAGCAGCTCCGGGTCTCAGGCAAAGCTACTGCGAGTCTTTGTCTGAAGGTGCAGCAAAACTGTATGCACAGTCAGACACAGTTTGCAAAGTAAAATGGAAGGCATGAAGCTCACAGTAACCTCCTTTGTGACTGGGACAGCTGGCCATTTATGTTAATCGCCCTTCCTTTAGAGTACCAATGAGCTGGTCCCAAAAGTCGTGCAGCTGATTTTCCAATCCAATAATGCTGTAAAGCTGCATTTAGAATTGTTTTTGTTTTTATCAGGAAACACAGAAAGTATACAACCTAATTTTTTTTTGTTTTTTCGGATTGACCAGGGCAGTTTTAATAATTCTATAAATACATCTAAATAACATTCTGTGTAATTAACTGACATCACAAGTAACATCATAATTTAAAGATCCAACCGATTATAACTGAATTACAGTATAACGTTTGAGCCCCAGAATACAGCTGTAATCACCCTAACAGTGTCAGCATAGGTAATATCACAATAGCAGAGGCCAATTTCAGTATACTGTATCTTTGATATATTTGTTCAGTTGGATGGATTCTAAAAGCCTTTAATCCCTAATTTAGATGTATTGTTTAAACAGCCAGGATGCTGAAATCATAGTACATAATGGGACAATGTTGCTTCAGAAAACAGGCTTAGATTATAGCTAAGCAGAATTTGGCTTACCCTCCGATTTAACCATGGTAACCATGAGCAGTATGACTGAGAATTTGGAAAGGAATGACAATGTGTAACGATAAAAATTGTACAGAAACTGTAGATTAAACGCAAGCATTATCACAATTTTCAGTAATGGGAGCCTAGTAAATACTTTGAGAAAGTGTGAACATGGAGTAGAAAATGATCTCCACACCATGGTTCTGCCACGATAAAAGGTTTGAACACCTCACAGGGCAGTTAAATCCTTCATTGGGCAAATGAAAAGAGGATGGTATAACTCCAAACGTACAAAGACACGGCTGTCCGCCTCAACCGACATGCAAAATATTGCATCTCACCATGAACACACTGTTCTCACTGCTATAGCATCATCAGGCCATTTGAACCACTGAATACAGGAATATTAAACAACCAAATTCAATCCTAAGCATTTAGCCAAAGATGCAAAGAAACTGCTTAGATTCAGGCTTATCTATGTGTTTTAGTTGTTCAAAATGTAGCTGAGGAAGACTAGAAGAAAGCTCAGTGTCTAGATGAGCAAATCTGGTGCAAACAGCTAAAAAGACTTGCAGCTGTAGATGCAGTAAAAAGGCGATTCTACAAAGCATTGAATCAGAGTGGCTGAATGCATTTTAACACTTTTTAGAGTGATATTGATATTTATGCTCCACTATGTGTAAATATAAATATGGAACATTTCTAAAAGTTCATTTTTAGAAAGCTTTATAGCAGCTGCTGACCACAGAGGAACACATACAATTAAGCACTTGTAGTGTGATTCTACTACATGTTCACAAAATAGCACTGCATGCAAATACTGGCCCACTTTGTGTTTTTTTTTTTTTCCTTTCTTTTTAAACGTGCATCTAAATCGAGCAATCAAGCCAAAAAAAGCTAGAAGCACCGGAAGAAAGAAGCGTCTCACTTTAGTTGCTCTAGCAACTGGTTGTGCTTCTGCTTACTTAATTTCATTCATCACTCACAGAAAGGTTAACACAGTGCAGCAGCTGCATCAGTCACACCACAAACAAACCTTTGGAGCAAAAACATGTAGTACAATAAAACGCGCCATGAGGGAAGTGGTGAAACGCTGCACGGCTGTTTTTTATACATGTTATAAATAACCCCGGGGAGGGGGGTGCAACTGCTTATCACCAAATTGGCACTGTGCTCTTTGGATTGAGACATCCTCATCCTGGGTGTTACTTATATCATTCAAACAATAATAATTTACTTAAAATGCAAACACAGGAAAATTAAACTGAAGGAAACAGTAAACTGAAGGAAAAACCAGTCTAACACCTGATATGGTGTGTGTGTGTACATTAGTGGTTTCTAGGCAGCAAAGGAGCTCAATGGGCCTCAGGAAATGGGTGTACTTAGGGTAGTTTACAAGACAGGAAGTATAGATCCACAGAATTAGAAGCTGATTAAAAGCAGTGAGGCTGGACGGCCTGGATGAACCCAGGTTTGATGTCTGTTGTAGACTAGAGAAAAACACCATCATCTCCATTTTTCGTTGTTTGCCCCTAAAGAGAGGTTGCCATGGACCGCATATTTTTTTAAAAATTTTATTTCTAAATGGCCACTGGCTGTGGTTGCTGCTGTGCACCACTGATAGAGAAAGCCTGAGTTCACAGTGCTGCTTTGGCTTACTTATCAGTCAGAATGCTGCAGACATACGGTGTAGCTGAAAATACAGCCCAAGAGACATGCAGTACAAAAAAAAAAAACAGTTTGGTGTGGATCCATCTCAGCAGCACATGATAAGAAGATCATTTTGAACCAAAGCAGAACGAATGAAAGTTATGTGAAGAGATGCATGACTAGAGCTATTTACTGAGTGATTCTCTTTCACATGTGTGTTATTTGCAGACTGTCTCTTGTGCTCAAGTGTGAAGTGGAGGGACATCGGAACACCAACCAAGAGAGGTAACCACAGAACATTTGTTCCTGTTTCCATTATCATGCAAGTTCTTAAAGAGCAAGAAAGGTTTTGATGCAGTACCGTACACCGCCTACTCCATTTAGTGGTCTTTCCAGAACAGATAAATGTAGTTGCATTATCTTGCAATGGAATATTAGAAAACTCTGACCTTTATCACCTTTATTTATTTAAACTTGTTTTCTATTTAGTCCCTTGTGGCTACAGTATGTTCACACTGCAAGTCTTGATGGTCAGTTAGATATTTTTCTTTTTTTACATGGTCATTCAGACTATTACCTAAATGTGGCCACCATCAGATTACAATCTAATAATTTTTACAGATCCAAAGCAACCTGCATGCGCAGAAGATCGGAGTTGGCATCACATATCAGCTGTTTACTGAAGTAATCGTAATCGAAATGTGATATGATCGTTCAGAATGCTGATTCATTAAAGGCTACCCGAAATGTATCCAATTTAGTAGTGGCACAAATCAAATTTTTTCAAAGGTGAAAAGCTTGATATTTCACTATTCTGACTGGCATGAAAAAGTCTAAAAAGGCCTCATTTGGGCAAAAAAAAAATTGTATTTTGGTCACATTTGTCTATATTGTGAACATAGCCTAAGTGCCACTGCTGTAGATACGTTGTCAATCTCAATGCACGCATAGAACATCATATAATGTGTTCTTTACGATAACAGACAGATCATTAATCTTTGTACAACTTTTCTATTGTTTCAAAGATGTCTTACCTGCAGCACACCCCTCAGGTTTTCTGTAGCATAAATTTTGGGTGCTGAGTTGGCCATTGAAGAGAGAAGATTTTTTTTTTGTTTTTTTTGCTTTTTGTTTTTTGATTCTTTGATTACCTGATTTCAATTTTTTTGCCAGTTAAGATGGTTTATATTTCAAACATATCATGCAAAATCCACTTTTTCAACCCTGAGATATTATTGTTTATGTACATGGAGTCACTCATAGTGCATACAATTATAATTTGGCCTCCCATAGTGCCTATGTATCTTTATACTTGTTTGGATCATATTTTTCTAGTTTTCTGTTTTACTTATTACATTGTTTGAAAATGAAAAAAATATTTTTAAAAGAATTGCAAGAGGTTTTATTCCTAGATGTTTAACTTTTTTCCAAAAAATCCAAAATATATTGAAAGGACTGTTTTTTATTAATAATAAAAACCCACTGGGCACTTTATTAGGTACACCTTGCTAGTACCAGGTCAGAGTCCCTTTTGCGTTCATAGCTGCCTTAAGCTGCCACCCTTTAGCCCTCCACCCTTCTTACATAAAACATCTTTGTTGCATTATATTAGACCCAATGCTGACAAAAATAAAATTTCTAAATGAATTCAGCTAATTCTAACATCTTCAGCTAGTTCTTACCAGTCAGGATCTATGCAGACATCCTTCTCTATCTGCACTGCTGCTGTTTATCATTTCAAACCCTACTCTGCCTCCGATCACATCTCAGCTTTTGCATCAAAAGCTTATGGTTCTGCTACACTTTTTCTTGAATATATCCACATTTTTTCAGGCATTTTGCTGAATCTGCTTAGAAACACTCACTCTCTCCCTCTGCAATGATTTTTATAGCAGATATGATGTGCCTCATACTCAGCTAGATTAACTTTGCTAAAGAGTGAGGGGTGGAGACTGAGGGGTGAGCTGAGGAGGGCATAGAGAGGGATTTCAAAAACATGAATCAACCGCTCTGCAAAAGGTTCTCATATAGTCTACTGTTAAGCAAAAAGATAAATAATTTTATGTATTTGGATTTTATGAGTTAGAACAGTCTTGCTGTCCTCTCTATATGTATGTATATAACAAAATACAATTAATTGTGTTGATTTTTACCGCATTAAAATGTTTCTAATTAGTTAATAAATTCCCAGCCCTAATTATAATTGTATTGATTTCACACTCACTTGTCTTTCAGGCTGCATGTATCACCCAGCGGACCTCTACTCTGGCCGCAACACGTGGGTCCCCTACCCAGCTGGAGGACCTCACAGAGGACAATGGGCACCTGAAAACCGTCGCCCCTGGAGCCATGTACAAAGGTGAGTTCTACTATTTCAACATTTAAAACTATGTTTTAACAATCAATCAATGAATTTTGAAACAACAGAAGATCACGATTTAACTTGCAGATATATTTTTAGGTCCTTGTTTTCAAAGATTTCAAATAAGAGGTGCTAAATTGCACTTGCAAAAAGTGAATGTGTAGTATGTGATCTACAAAGCAGTGTAGTTTGCCCCAATGGGTTCTATGCACAACTCCACTACTTCCTGAACCTAAGGCAGCTGTTTTGTTTCCTCTCTTATATTAATTGATGAACTGATTAATCCAGGTGTGCCTTACCATGGATACTGAGGTCAGGCACACCTGGATTAATCAGTTCATCCACTAGAAAAAGACAGGAAAAAAAAGAGCTACCTTAAGTTCAGGAAGTAGTTGGGTCGTGCAGAGACCATGACATTAGCAGATAGTGTGTTCTACTGGCATTTTCAGAGTGACCTTAAAAACAAGATGAGGTTTAAAGCCATGTAATGTGGGGTAATAATGACCGAAAGGTAACAATATGCATAATTCTAAATTTTATTCATAGTTTAGATACATAGTCTATCTCAAATTCCTATGAACAAAAGTAAAAGTTAAATGTAAATGTCCATCCTCCCCTACCTGACAAGAAGGTGCCACATTCAGATTGCAGATTACACATTTAACAGCTGTATTTATCTCCACCTATCCCCCTCAACAACACCTTGACCTGACATACTGCAAAAAAAGGTTGGCCCACAGTAATTAAATAAAAAATAATGCACTTTTTTTAAAGACTGTTGAGGGGGAGGGGGGAATCCCCTTTTACCGTAAATAGCAAATGTGCACTTTCAGCCCCCCGTTCCTTGAAGATCTGCTCTACAGACAACTTTGCAAGTGTTCAAAGATGCCCAAACCTTCTTGAAATCCACCCATTAATGTGCCATAATGTTTCCACTTCTTTTATTCTCAACATCTAGTTACCAAATGATGTTTTGGTCTGGCTAATTGCAAAACAAGAGCTTACATTTTGCAGGAACACATTCAACATTTTTTAAAGTTCTTTCACTTTATCAGCACAACAAAACCTGTTGTTGTTAAGCTCATATAATTGAGTGTGTTAATTGGCAAGCTGCCATGGCTGAATGGGCTGAGCGACAGGGGAAAATAATGGTAAAATACAGTGGAAACATTTATTGTAACAGAGGAACTAAAGCTTTAGAGGATTATAGCAAATAGCGATTTATGTTTACCAAACTGTTTTGTGTTGGAAAGACATTTCTGCAATATGTTGTATAACAAGAATTTATGTCTCTGGTGTCCATGAAGCCTCCTTTTTAAGCATCCCTAAACCAGCACAAATCCCACACCATTGCATTACAAATTAACCAGAACCTGAATAGATTCTATACTTTTTTTCAATGGGGCCTTATAAGATGCATTAAGAGACATCAACCTTGTGCATAATTGTTTATGAGAGTTTCTCAAGTGCTGTCTGTGAATGGAGTACCCAGACAATTTTGAGTTGTCTAGGTGAAAGTGAAATGAAAAATATATTTGGCCTAAGATCATATATTGAAAAATCTGAAAGAGTAAGATGAAAATAAAACTCTGGATTTACTAAGTTGAGAGATTCTTGCTGATTGGATCTTTGTAGGTTTTTATGCGTCTAACTTCTAACTATTCACTGATTAGCCATTAAGTTCAAGGGGCAGAAAAGTTTACGTGATTTGTCCTGAATTGAGGTACTGAAACTACCCCTAAACTTTACAGATAACAAAAAGAATCACAGCTTTACACATAGGGGCACAGACTGCATTCCCCAAAATATAAGCACAGAATGCTCTGCTGCCACAATGTAGGACAATTGCACAATGTGTCAGGCTGAGCACTCTTCAAAATTTGTATAGGTTATCCCCTACCTCCACCGCTAATCCTTGCAAAAGGCAGTGAAATTACTGTAAGGCTGAAACTAATGGTGTGGGCACAAAAATTATATATTTTTCATGCAGTTTTTTTTTTTTATTGAAAAGGATTATAAATGAATCTATTAATCTATGAATAAATGAATGTATTAATGCTAAACTAAAGGTTATGTTGTCAAAAGATAGGTAGAAAAAAATATGAAATGACTAAAATATAGCTATCACATGTTTATCACATGTTGAGGATGTCTAATTCAGTCATTAGGCCTCTGAACTGGGGCAAAATACTTGAAGCATAACTTGTCCCTTACAGACTTGGAAGCTAACTTTGACTTTTAATGAAATATTATTGAAATCTTTCTTTTCAATCAAGCTGGGGTTTTCTATTTTACAGATGTGAACAAGGGCGCAACCAGTCACATCAATCGCCATCAGATCGTATTTATAACAGGTAAGTAAAACAATTTATCAATAACACTCTGACATATGGCATTAATAATACTGGAATAGTATCTATGTTACCAAAAATCTAATGATGAGACAACTTCATCTACTTTTCTGAGCAACATTACAAAATTCAATGCCAAGACATGTTGAGCTCACAATTGTGAAGCAGAACTGTGCAAAATATATTTCCACCACATAATGGCTCCAGATAATTATGACTGTTTGTTTTATACATTTTTTCAGAGGGGACAGGTCAATCAACGATGTCCACGATAAGGGCGTCTCAAAGGGCCACAGGCAGCTGCAAAGGATTTGGGATGGTAAAGGGCAGCAGTTTGAGGGGCAGAGCTGGCTTCACAACTCCCAACGATCATTCCCCAACCAAAGCGGTATTAATGGTTATCTAACAGGACCTGGACAGCGCTATGTCACCTGGCAGAACAATGTCAGCAACAATCTGGTGAGAACCGCCGACTGGGGGACGCCTGTACCTCATATTAACAGTTTTTTTCTCTTTTTCCTGATAGCAAGGGGATCCTCGGTTGAGTCGTGGCAGCAGAGAGCTACAGCCCCCAATGGATAGATGGAGTGTGCCGGACCACCACAGGAGTTTCAATGGCAGAATGCTAAACAACAGGCATGGACCCTGGAAACGTCCAATCCTTCACCAGCGGAGAGAGCCGCCGCTCCATCAGAGCCCACCCCCACAGCACCATCTGTCTTCGAGGAATGGAGGTCCAGCTAAGAGGAAAAGGGACTCTGACTCTACTCAGGTAAACCAAGAAACCAGTTTTGTTTTTTTTTTCATAAATGAATGTTTCCCATTCATGAATATTTATTTTTGTTAAAGAGCACACCAAAGTGGCAAATCCACTACTGAATGACAGGACGTTTTCTTTTTACAGTCTTCTCATCTTGGATCAAGATATTTATCTCCACCTGCCCATGCTCCATCATCGCCCAGTCACTACCGTTGCAATCAAGATGACAGGGCAAGTTCCTCCCTACGCTCTGACCACAGGACCTCAGCATCACATCAACAGGTACAGTAGTTTAGGCAAGAAAAGGACTCCCCAAGAACTGTTGCCACTGACATCAATTATTGTCTGCAATCCTACAGGAAACCTCTGAGCTGCGAACAGGAGGCCCTGGCGTTGGTAACTTAGAACCTCCCAACCAGAGTCCTGGCAGCAGAACACATTATGGTAACAAAGGGAAGGTCGAAGGGAAAATCTCAGCTTCACCAGCAGACCACACCCGTGTGCCTTACAGCCAGCAAAACCATCACTACCACCGGCACACAAGCCAGCAGAAAGTTCCACAGCACAATAAACCACCGCGCCCCCTGGAGGAAAAGGACTTGCGTAGCCATTATCTCAAGCAAAGCACAGTAAGAGATACAAATGTCAGCTCTAATACTGCACAACATTTCATCAAAAACTGACATTATATCAAAACTTTTGCATTTCAGGAATTTAGGCGCTCTCATTCAAGGGGCAGTTCAAGGGATTCAACACTTTGCAAAAACACTGGTGCAGACTACTCCCCTTGTTCATCCACTCCCTGTAGCCCTAAAGATGGTCGATCCGCATCCAGAAGTCCAGGTGCTCCCTCCAGCCCCTCCTCATTCACCATGACCAGTTGCAGGAAGGATTTAGTAGACATCCAACCACGCTCTCCCACTCTTACTGATCTGCAAAAATCACTAGCAAGCCTGAGTCACATCCAGAGACTCGGCATGACATCCACCTCATCTCATATGTCTCATTCTGGGTCAAAATCCAGGATCTCAGATCCCAAACACAGGAAAACCTCAGTCTGTTCAAGACAATCTCCTGCTGCCAGGGTGAAGCCAAGCAAGTCAGAGAGAGGGATGGATGATTTAAGAAAAAATCAGACCAAACACAAGGATAGGCTCATGAAAAAAGAGAAAAGGAGTGATGCTGCAAATGGCAATGATGAGGAAAGGAAAAGGAGGAAGAAGAAAGATGAGAAAAGCTTGGATGAGAAGAAAAGAAAGAGAGATAAGGCTATGAAGAAAGAAAGAAAATTGAAATTGAAATTGAAATTGAAGAAGATTAAGAGAGAGAAGTTTTCTTCCACCTCTGGTTCCCTCCATCCAGTAGAGGTCAAGATGGGTGAAAATGAGACCACGTCTTTGTCAGCAGACGATCAAAGCCAGAATCAAAAACAGAAGACCAGAGAGAAAAGTGATGAAGTTAAAACAACTCTCGGCAATTCACCCACTGATACCTTCGGTGCTAACGGCAGTTCCCGACACCCACCTTCAAAATCCAAATGGATATCTGAAGGGAACAACATTCCCACAAAGGTATCAGGAAATGAGCACTCCATGGAATCTACATCTGACTGTGTCCATCAGAGCAGCAATATCACCACTCATTCAGAAAATGGACCAAAACTTAACCCTAACTCCGCAAAAACTTTCCCTTCAGTCTTACTTGCTGCCTCAGGACCTCTCAGTACTACAGACTCCACTGGCTCAAACCAGGCGGTCCATGGCAAAGAAGAGAAGAAGGTGGGAGCTCTCAACGCTCCTGATCTTCAGCCTGAGGCTGTGCTGGGAAATCTTAGTGACACAGGGGACAACCATGCAAACACTCCTCCTGTGCTCAGCTGGCAAGGCTCCCCTGTTTCAGATTTTGAAGAGGACGAAGAAGAGCTCAAAAAGGGTGTAATAAGTAGACCTGTTCTCCAGCCCAGCCCCACTCAGTGTTTATCTCCTCTTCCTGCAGATAGTGAAAGCAATGATGATTTAGATCCTTGTACTAGTGATTCAAATGGTTATACCTACGACAGTCCATCTGACTTCTGTGATTCCTCTTGTGAGATCAAAGAGTCTAAGGATCACAACGAAGAGCAGGTGAATAACCGGAAAACTACTGGTTTAATTCTCAATGAGCTCCACCAGCATAAAGCGGGTTTGGATGATGTTTTTAAGAGCCTAGCCACCTTCCTGGAAGGCCAGAGGGCGTCGTGTCGTGGCGGTCCTTTTGGTGGGGCTACCTCAAAAGGAGTAAAGTACTCATCATCTCTTACTGTGGCATCCCAGATTCACTGTGATGAGAATCAGGATCTTTCTCACAAATCAACTACCACAGCCCTCTTTGAGTGTAATAGTCAATCACCTCCTGATGCTACCTCAGGCTCACTTCTAAAACTTCACAGTCTACCATATCGAAAAGATTCAGCTGGTCATCTCAAGGAGCAGGAGAAGCAGGAAGAAACTGAAAGCAGTTCAGATGACAACCAGGTGGGAAAGAATAAAGAGAACCTTATGGAGACAACAGATTCGTCACTTCTAGAGGGATCTTTGAGTGCAGAGCTGACAGTGACCACAACTCACACAGCCTCCTTTACCAGTGTTATTACAGTCTCCACCAAGGAAAGGAGAGAGAACAGGAAAGTATCCAAGGATAAGAAGTTGAAGAGAAAGAAGCATGAAAGAAAAGAGGAAATCAGAAAGATGAAGTCAAAGAAAAAAGAAACAAAAATGAAAACTAAAGCTAAACATGTAAAAGATACCCACAAGCGGGAACTTTCGTCCTCAGTATCACCCATCCCGAAAAGTTCCACCAGACCTCTTGCAGACAGTATGAAGGGCCAGATTCCTCAGGAAAATCAAACGCAATGTGGCAAAGCCATCAAGAGACTCAAACTGGACACTGGGAACTCTGATGTAAGGCTGGAGGAGGCTGAGGTTGGAAAAAAGAGAACCTCAGACACTAACTCCTCAAACATAGTGACCTCAGCTGCAAGACTCGGTACGTCAGGTCATATAGGTCCTCACTTACCAACAAGTGAGTCTCTCTGCTCTAAATCTCATGTGGATCCCCTGAAATTGAAAGCATTGTCCATGGGCTTGTCCAAGGAGCTCAAGGTTGTCTTGATTAGAATGGACAGTGCTGGAAGACATACATTTAACATATCAGAGCTGGAGGAGCAAACTATCCCAATGTCTGAGCTTAACATTGAAAACACAGCAGCCGAAGTGGTTCGAGCATGCAAGTAAGTGGTATCACTAAATACCCACATGTGCTGTTGAATATTGTTCGTTGGCTTTTTATCTTGATTTCTGTTAATTTGCTGTGTTTTCTCAGGGGAGCGAGAGTGAAGGGGAAATTTAAGGAGTCGTACCTGCTTCCCTCATTCTGTGTCAAACCTAAAATGGCCATCGACATCCCCATTCCGCGAGAAAAGCTGAACCCACCCACACCAAGCATTTATGTGAGTGTCCACTAATTACTGTCATTGCATCATTGTCTTCTTAAGGCTCCAGGAAGGGAAGTAAAACAATGCAGAACCCATAAACGTATTGTTCTTGTTAAATACAAGAATTGAAGGTCTCTTTGTTGTGTCTTTCATGTGTTATTTCACTCGATGTTTCCATTTAAACTTGACTCATTGTTTGGTCGGATTTGGGAATCACAATGAACAGTTATAATAGGGTACAAAGAAATCTTAGTGTGGTCTAGACAAAGAACTTGATGAGGTTGAAAAAGTCATATAATGCCAAAAAAGTAAAAACTATTTTATTTTTATCTGTTCTCCAACATTTCGTCTACTTCTTTGCAGTTGGAGAGCAAGAGGGATGCCTTCTCTCCGGTTCTGCTTCAGTTCTGCACAGATTCCAAAAATGCTGTAACGGTAATCCGAGGCTTGGCTGGCTCCCTCCGCCTTAGTAGGTTTCAGTTCATCCCCTGGTTCATTCCATTTTTTGGGGTTGGAGTGCAAATACATGAAAACATGTAGCTAATTATCTTTCATGCTTTTCTTTCCGTAAGATCTTGGTCTGTTCTCCACCAAGTCACTGGTAGAGGCCAATTCAGACCATGCTGTGGAAGTGAGAACTCAGGTTCAACAGCCAGCCGATGAGAACTGGAACCTTAATGGCTCTGCACAAACCTGGCCCTGTGAAAGCAGTCGATCGCACACCACCATTGCCAAATACGCTCAGTACCAGGCCTCAAGCTTCCAGGAGAGCCTGGAGGTAAATATAATCTCCTGTACTAATACTACCTTGTTTATGTAGCGAGTATAAAAAGAAAGGTTTTAAAATATTTGAATTTATTTAATTTAAAACTCTCCTTTTAACCAACTCAGAAACATGTTTTTGTTTAATGTGGCAGGGCCAAATTTTATCTAATAAATGACCAAACAGTTTGATACTGAAGGTGGTGCCTAGCACCTTCACCAACCTCAAAATAGTCAAAGCTAGACCTTAAATATACACTGACAGCTCAACTTCCTTTTGCAAGAGATTAATTCATGTTTAATTCCAGCAGGTTCTGTAGGTTAGCTGACTTACAAAGAGGTGTCTCAATTAAGCAAGACTTAAGTCACCTTTAAGACACAAGAGGTGACAAAAGGGTTGCTGTTCAACTTCTCCAACTTCTTCAAATATTTTTCTAAACATTAAAATCTGAACACCGGCCAAGCAATGGCATTTTTGATTTTGTCTGTAGCCTTTTGCATTCTTAAAAACAAAAATAGGAAGAAAACCCAGTGATTCAACCTATGTGCTTGACTGTGGATATAATTTTCTCTTTCAAACCTTACTCAATGTCTGATTATAGTAAACTCTTACCCATAGTCCATCTACATACTGCCCCAATACTGTAAGTGCTGCTCTCCCACAGCTAGTATTATTCATCTATAGTTAAATTATCATAGCTTCTCATTTTAGTGTTATATTATCTATTGGTATAGACCAGAATGTAGGTTGTCTGATTGTTACATTCTTGTTTAAAATACATAACAATGAAAATCATTTGTTATTTTGGGGTGGGTGTTCAGTCTTTTAATTATACCTTTGTTTTGAATTTCTTCCTATGGCTTGCAATAAAACCTCTAGTCTAGTAGCCTCCATGCATTTTGACAGTTCCCTATCGTATCCTCACTAATACCTAGACATAGATATGAGTGACCTGACGTCAGGGTTCCCAGGGTCATTGTGCATATAGGACACAGCTTTCATACTAAATGTTGGTGTTCGTGAGAAATTCCAAAAGTTACGATACACAAACTTTCATTGAATTGAGCAAAACCTTACATGCATTTTTGCCTGCGCTGTCCCTACCACTGTAGACACAGCAAATCAGTATATCTACATGTAAGGCATCTAGCACATGTCCAAATAAACATGCACTGGTGCAGTTGTGTCGCAGAGGGACTTGGTCAAACCTCTGGGAAATTTGTTACAGTCAACAAACCTATTACGGTAAGTTATTTTAAAGACAATGAAAATAAAAGTCTGGTGGCTCCTACCTGTTTATATATGGGTCAAACTGCATTGTTTACTTAGTTGAGCTCAATTATAGCTTGATCCTTTTGATGTATATCAAGTCATTATAATAACATGAATATATTTATGGACATAAATGTGTATATTTATGTTACAATAATTATGTTTCTTTGAGGAACAAGTCACTACAATCATATTGGTGAGGTACTTTTAGCCCAGAATTAATGTTGAAAATCATTCAGGATTTCACCGAAAAGATCAATAAAACTAACAAATAAAAAATTACTTAGAAGCCACAAAGCACTGAGTCTGTTCAAGTCTTTCTCCAACACAAGTATAATGATTATTATTATTGTTAAAGTATAAAGAATACTAAGTTGAACTGGGCCAACGTGCAACTGCATTTGGGATACAGGTTTACAAATCACAAATAAGTGCAAAGCTTTGTAATGAAAATGCTTTCTAGTCATTAAAGCAAACCTGACATGCATTGATCATGCCCCTATAGTAAGATGAGTGCTTTTTTAGCTCTAATTACATTTGGGAATAGGGCACCGCTCAAATTGCAATTTAATCTGTGTCTATTCCGGCAGAGCAGCGTACGAATTAAGATATCCTATGCATCTGACATTGGATTGCTTATTCAACAGCTTACCTGACCTGCTAATCAGCTCCCTAAAAAAAAAAAAACTAATTTAACACAGAATGGTAGTAAGACCTTAAACTGACACAANCACAGAATGGTAGTAAGACCTTAAACTGACACAACTGATGCAAGGTTCTTTCTGGTTTTCCTCTATAATATAAATTAATCTAATCCAGATGGTAAGCCATGCATCATCATATTCCAGCAGGTCAGTAGGATCTTTGATCAGACATACTTCCATACTGCAAGGGATTCTGCATGCATTAATGTAGCTACTTATGAACATGTATGATTGTCTGTAGCTTGTCCACCTTAGGAATTTTCACTGGCAACTTGTTAGAAATTAATCTAACTAGAGTTACTAGAGTTTTTTGGGATTTAGAAGGAAAGTGCATCTTTTAGATTGAATATGGATTCTACTTCTGGGTGCACAGCCTGGTTTGCATTATAATGCCCAAAACACAGAACTATTTTTTTATGCATGTTACCTTATTGTATGCGGCTAAATGCCATTCAACTCAATTGTTTTGTTTTATATAAAAAAAAAAAAAGAATCAGTAAAAACAACAGGTTTTATGCTCCATAAGTAAAATGTGAATGTATTTGAATTAGTGTTAGAACTAATGTCCATTGTAAAAAGATATTTTGTGGTTCCCACAAATCTTTGGAGCAGGTCAAATGTCTGTATGGATACTAGCACACTTCCATGCACCGCTCACTTTTATAAACCTTTAGTTGTGCTTAAAACAATGTGATGCAAGTTATTTGTGGTTAGGCAGGCTTTTAGGTACCAGGAGTTTAAAATGTTTCCTATAAGTTGTGTTTGACGACAAAGTCAATCCCTGTCTGTTCAAGATCATAGCAAAACTTTTCACATGTCTAACTGGATGAGCAAATGGGAGTAGGGGAGCGTGGAGCAGACTTTCCCCCTCTGTTCTTTATATCACCTCTGCTCTTCCTAAGAACAATTACTGGTCTTCATGGTGATGGATAATTACAGCAAAAGAAAGTCACATACAATATACAGAATGAGAAGTATCTGAAGGCTGTTCATTTAATTGTACATAGAACTAACATAATCCTCATTCTGATTTTGTCAGTGTTGTTTCTCTGCAAGTGTTTGAAGCTAAAATTGTGGTCCTGCCCTAACCTGCAAGTTTTCTTTGTTAATGTATTAAAGGAGGAAAAAGAAAGTGAGAATGAGGAGGAAGAAGAAGGAGAGGAAGAGAAAAACGACTCATTGGCAACCACAAAAGCTGCTCTGACATTACCCAGCTCAACAACAAATAAAACCAACTCAACCTCTTTCAGTAAAGCCCAGTTGGCTAATCCCACCAGCATTAACAGGTTAGCAAACAATCCTGCTCTGTTCATATAAAGAACTCCCTGTTGAGTAAACAATATTCATCTCAGATTTCCATTTTTCCCCCACAGCCCAGAGCAGAAAACAGTCGGGAAAATTATTAAATTTGGGACCAACATTGATCTCTCCGATCCTAAAAGGTAAGGCGAGTTTGTAAAGTCAATAAGGCTCATGTTCAATCATGGCTACATCACACAACGAGAGACGATTATGAGTTTCAATGACTCTATTCTAAGGTGGAAGCCCCAACTGCAGGAGCTTCTGAAGCTCCCAGCTTTCATGCGAGTAGAATCCAGCAACAACATGCTCAGTCTCGTTGGTCACACCATCCTGGGAATGAACTCCGTGCAGCTGTACATGAAGGTTCCAGGCAGCCGAACCCCAGGTCAGTCGCCTCAAAGTTTCATATGAGTTTTTGACAAATGACCCCAGACATTGGCTGGTGATTTAAACTTTGGATTCTTGACCGACCCTAACTGATGATTAACTATCTGGAAAACTGATCTTCTTTCAGAGCAGTTAGTGAAACATAAATGCAATTTAAAGCTTCAAGAGAGGGAAATGTATTTTGTTTGTTGGTTGGCTGTTCAGTGGAGTATTTTTAAACAAAGAGGGTGATTTCATCAATCACGCTGCATGGCTGTAGGGGCGGCTGTTTTCTCTGTTCCTTGGGATCAATTATTGATTATTTGGCGTCTGATAAATAATGCTTTGATTTAGTATTTTAATTGTCAAATGACTTTGAAAACTAATATGGAACAGCAATTCTATATTATTCTCTTCAAATCAGGGCTGAAAC